AAGGAAGGAAGATTGAAGGGGAAAGGAAGGAGATGGAGAAGGAAGGACATTGAAGGGGAAAGGAAGGAAGAAAGGAAGGAAGGAAGGAGAGAGAAAGATTGAAGGGGAAGGGATGGAGATGGAGATGGAAGGAAGGAAGATTGAAGGGGAAAGGAAGGAGATGGAAAAGGAAGGAGATTGAAGGGGGAAGGAAGGAAGGAAGGAAGGAGATGGAGAAGGAAGGACATTGAAGGGGAAAGGAAGGAAGAAAGGAAGGAAGGAAGGAGAGAGAAAGATTGAAGGGGAAGGGATGGAGATGGAGATGGAAGGAAGGAAGATTGAAGGGGAAAGGAAGGAGATGGAGAAGGAAGGAGATTGAAGGGGGAAGGAAGGAAGGAAGGAAGGAGATGGAGAAGGAAGGAGATTGAAGGGGGAAGGAAGGAAGGAAGGAAGGAAGGAAGGAAGGAAGGAAGGAAGGAAAGAAAGAAGGAAGGAAGGAGAGAGAGAGATTGAAGGGAAAGGGATGGAGATGGAGATGGAAAGAAGGAAGGAAGATTGAAGGGGAAAGGAAGGAGATTGAAGGGGGAAGGAAGGAAGGAAGGAAGGAGATGGAGAAGGAAGGAGATTGAAGGGGGAAGGAAGGAAGGAAGGAAGGAAGGAAAGAAAGAAGGAAGGAGAGAGAGAGATTGAAGGGAAAGGGATGGAGATGGAAAGAAGGAAGGAAGATTGAAGGGGAAAGGAAGGAGATGGAGAAGGAAGGAGATTGAAGGGGAAAGGAAGGAAGGAAGGAAGGAAGGAAGGAAGGAAGGAAGGAAGGAAGGAAGGAAGGAGAGAGAGATTGAAAGGAAGGAATGGAGATGGAAGGAAGGAAGGAAGATTGAAGGGGAAAGGAAGGAGATGGAGAAGGAAGGAGATTGAGGGGGAAAGGAAGCAAGCAAGCAAGCAAGCAAGGAAAGATTGAAGGGGAAGGGAAGGAAATGGATGGATGGATGGATGGATGGATGGATGGAAGGAAGGAAGGATTGATCTTTGGAGAGTCATGTTTTTCCAGATGGTGATGAACTGCAACTCCCAGCATTCCCCACTCTTCCACAGTGTTTTTTAGGGCTGCTGGGGATGGTAGTCCAGTAAGGTCTGGAGACACACATAGATGCCCTCCGACGGCGAGGGAGGTGGACCGGGCGGCGCGGGGGAGGCTCCGGCACGGCGCGGAGGGTGGCCGGGCAGCCAGGAGGCATGGGGACTGGCTCGGTGCCGCAGCTCAGCTCAGCCAGCAGCAGCAGCAGGGCGAGAAGAGAGGGGGCGGTGGTGGCAAGTCATGAAAGCAGCATCCACACATTCAGGGTGCAAACGCCTTGGACGGTTTGGCTCCCCCACCTCTTTATTTACTGATCTGCCATAAGCTTGTGCAAACAAGCCCCAAGGAGTTCTGAACGAGCGGTCATTTAAAAAAAAAGCTTTAAGCAACAAGGCAGAAAGGGGAACTCGCTCACGGCTCTGTTTTTCCCTTTCTCGGCGACTGGGAAGGCAGCAGCCAGAGATGCCGCTGCACAAAGGGAGGCAGAGAGAGGGGCAAGGGGGAAAACCTCACTCAACTTTTGCCCTTATCAGACCCGGTTCCCTTCTGGTCAACCCCCACCCATCCACCCGCCCCCTTCACCTCCCGCTACAGATTGATGCTACCCCTCGGGAGTATTTCACCAGGCTTTTTTTTTTTACCTTGGCCCTGCGCTTCTCCCAGACAGAAGCCAGGCAAGAGGACCTGAAAGACGCTGAGCAGGAGGTTCATAGCCATGGGAACGCGGCAGTAGCTGCTCTGCGATGGGTAGTGCAGCCCCGCCATGCTGCTGAGGTGGCTGCTTTCTTGTCTGCCCGAGCTGGCTGGCGGAGCTAGCCTTGAGCAGAAATTCTCATTAGTGTCTCGGTTCCTAAGACCATCAGAAATATGTGTTTTCCGATGGTCTTAGGCGACCCTTGTGAAAGTGTCGTTCGACCCCAAAAGGGTTGCGACCCACAGGTTGAGAACCACTGTTATAGCTTATCTAGGCACCAAGAATCTATAGAGCCATAATGTTAGAGGGTGGGTTTTTTGGTATCTCTTGACTGCCATTTAGTGGTTGTCTGGATTATTACAGGGGTAGATCTGGTACTCCTGAGCAATATCAAACTTCCTAGAATTAACTGAAGAAATCTGGATTTCCTAGACTGATACTGTCCTGAATTTTACAAGGCAATAATTGTTCTGGAGCATCTGGCGATATAAAGCCATTGATTTTGTAATATCTCTTCTTTGAGGGGGCTTATTTTCTATTTATAATAGAATATTGTTAAGTTAGCTCCTTTCCAAGGGGTGCTAAAACTCTCTTCATTCTCTATGAACTGAGTACAGTTACATTATAACTTTATGGTGAGTTCCATTAACATTAAATCTATGAAAAATACACCATACAATACATTGACAATAGGTAGTGATAGAAATGCTTCCTTACAATTTTTATTTTATTTTCTAGCTAATTAACATAGTTAAGCAGTAATTTTATGCTCACTTGTGTGGGAGCAAGCTTCAGTGAGACATACTTTTGAATAATTCTATGTATATGAAAAAATATGGATGTGAATGGAATGTTTTGACCCTTTTCATTCTTGGACTTAATCATGCAGCCCATGAAGTAGATGTAACAATGATGCTTGGCTCCTACTCTGTAAAAGCTAGCCAACAACAACAACAACAAAACCCTCCATTAAAACCAGTGCAAGCCTTCCTTCCTCCCTCAATCATAATTAACTGAAAAAGAGAGTAATTTAGGCATGGGGTGGGGGAAGAAGTCCCAGTAGAGAAAATAATGGTTAAACCTTACTTCCATAGGTGATGATTCTCCTCCACAAATCCAGTTAAGCCAGAAAAAAATCTTTAAATACCACAGAGGAGATGGGATGTCAACTCCAGAATGATGATTGTATAACCATTCCCTTTGCATTGTGATAAGGTTGAAGAAAATGTACTGCTTGCTCTTTACTGTATGTGTGTGGGGGGCGGGGGTTCATGCCTGCACATGTTCTGTGAAAGTTGGCGACTGATAGGTTAATGACCTATTACCATATCTACTCAGCCACTGTCTCACACATCATCAGAGCAGGTGATGGTCTGTGCATACTGGTCCTGCAGTCCTTTGGGAATTTCTTCTGTGTACATTCTGTCCCTTATATTATGCTCAGAGGCCCAGAAAGGTAGATTGCCAGAATATGTGATTGTGCACTTGTACTTGGGTTCAAGTAAATACCAATACAGCTTCCCTTTGGGAATCCTGATCTAAGAAACAGGGACGCCAAGATGAAGTCCTGGTGGTTCCATTATATATAATAATCCTCATATATTGTTTGAAAACTGAAAAGAAGGCTTGTGTGTGTGCAATGAATATGTGATGGATCTGTACAATTGGAAAGTGAGAGGACAGAGATTTCTATACAGAAGAGATCATGTGGTTTTCAATTCTTGGAGGGGGAGCTTTAACTCCACCCAGTGTTAGGCATGCAGATCCTATAAAGTTATATCAAAGGATCTTATTCTTAGTTGGAGCTTCCATAGAATCTTAGTAGCCTCTATTGCAGTGCTTCTCAACGTTTGTGTGACGGCGACCCCCGTCACACAAATGCGCCACGCATGCGCGGTGCCGGCCCCATGCGCGGTGCCGGCCCCATGCGCGGCACGCATGCGCGGTGCTGCCCCCCAAGGGGGGAAAATGGCGGATCGCCTTGTTTGGCGACCCCCGAGAAATGGTCGATCGACCCCAAATGGGGTCGCGACCCATAGGTTGAGAACCGCTGCTCTATTGCAAGGCATACATTTAATCATTATGGACAGGGCATCCTTTAGACAGAGCTAGTTTGAGTACAATTATCTATACAATAATAACAAATAGGTTTGTCTACTGTAATATGTTGCACACTGAGCAGTCCAGGAACACAATGGAAAAACTTCCGCTAGTTTAAAATTTAGTTGAAATAAAGTTGTTCATTGGGATTAGTTAAAAGAGACTTAACTAATAAATGCATTATCTTATGGTTCATTTCTGAACATAACAGAAAACACTGATGCATTCTTAACCTGAGCCATCAGAAGCAATACCTGAAGTCACTTTGAAAATCCTTTTCTAGGTCCTCCCCTCGCCATTTGAGATAGGGCATATAATGAGCATCCTTTCAGAGAAAGGAATTAAAAAGCAAAATGTTTCTTAGTGCCAATTTATTTCACGGAAGAATGTGAATCAGGCATTGGGATTTGCTCACAAAGGCAACTCTATGACAATTTTAATGTTTCTAATATTGATCCCTGAAAAAGATCCTAAATAGGATTCCCCTTTTAAATTCATCTCTAAAAAAATAATTGGAGGACCAAGTGTTGCATAAAGCTTTCACATAAAAGCAGGCTTGCAATGCCTTTTAAACACCAGCCTATAAATGCAATTGTTATCTAAGAAAAAGCCCTCACAGGGACAATGCAAAAGCATAAAAATACAGAGGGAGGGACTCTGATGAACAATGGATGGCTAAATATATACAGGAATTGCCTGTCTTTGAGAGACAGAATTATTATTTGTGATGTCTTTGCTTAGAATCCAAAAATGGAGAATTGAAACATAAAAACATCCTTAAAACAATATTTCCTCTTTTAAAATCTGGTCTCAGTCAGAGAGACAGACGCCCAAAGAATACAACCTATTCACCGGAGGGGGAGAGACTGCAAATTAATTTGAAGCTTTTTTTTTCACTTTAGAATTAATTAGGTTCTTAATTGTGGCTTCTCACTGGGTAATAATGCCCAAATCTCCGAGCCTGCCTAAGCAGAAGGTAACAGTGTGGGCCTGTGTGGTGAATGTAAAAATCTCATCATCATAACACCATTGATGCAGAAGTCTTTGCTGAGCCAATGAGAAGGGAGCAACGGATGGAGAATAATTTATTCAGTAACCTCACTTTCAGGTTGCAAAGCTCTCCTCCATTGCTTATGTAGTAGGGGGAGGCCTCTTCTTATACACCCATCCTGCCACTTCCCTCCTCCTTTCTTGTTACCACTCTTTCTTTCTTTCTTTCTTTCTCTCTCTTTCACACACACACACCCACACCCCACAATTCTCTCACAATTAGGAATATATATCTATTCAGCACTACTATTATTTGCAGCCTTTCTGTCCCCAGTCCTCTTTCTTTGCTAGCAAGCTATTTCCTGTGTGAAGCTGGGCTCTTTTGCACTCAGCCGTTTGTTTAGTTGCTTTTGTGTAATTGTTGTCCAAAAACCCAGATTTGCTGAAGTCTTGAAATTAAAGCACCAGGGAAGAAGTCATATAAAGGAGGAGGAAAAAGTAAGACAGCATTCTTCTTATTCTTTGTTTAAAATCTTAGAGGATGAATGAGAATGTGAGTGGCATTTTTTTGAATGCAGATCTGTGAGGTTGCACTGTGGATATGTGTTACATACCTATCTTCTTTTGTTTGTACATGTGTATACATTCCTCTTTATCCCCCTTTTCAGTAATTAATCAAATGTTTATTGGCAGGTGACATCTACAGACCTCTGTATGTTAGAAATGTTGTGTTTCTTTATGCTTGGCAAGCAATGTTTTCATTTAAGTAGCTCTCCATAGCCACTGCTGTGATAGGAAGGAGAGATTTATTGTCTAAGAAAAGTCATGTAAGTGTCTGTGATGACAAAGTAGCTGCATATGGATAGCGTGCTAAACACACCCTAAGTATGGTATAAACAGCAAAAAGATGTATATTTGCACACTCAATTCTACTTCATTTTTACCCTTTAGGCTTTATTTAGGTTTGATTTAATTATAAGATAACAGTTTACTAATATATGGAAATATTTGTAATAGTGGCGAATATGGAAATATTTGGATATAATGAGATCTTTTTCTGTCTCCCATGATATGTTACTATTGTTCACTGTGATCTGCATCCGAAATAGGAATTCATTATATATGTCAGTAGAGGTATACATATGAATGGACTGCTGAAATTAATACAAGCCCTTTGTTTGAATAAACTTTCAATTGTTTTTGCACTCTTCCCATATCTTTGTGTGTGTGTGTGTTTGTGTGTGTGTGCTGTTGATATATATCTTACAGTTCTGCTACTGCATAATAATGTTACACGATTTTATACTAATTCCTTGAAGTTCTTAAGAAATCAATGCTTCATACTGAGGTGTGACCATGGAAGCAGTCCAATCAGACTTAAGTCCTGAGTTATTGTCAACTGCCATCTGTGTGTATCAGTATGAGCTTTTGTGTTTTCTAATGCCATATGCTGTATGCAACACACAAGTGATACTTATGGCTGTCTGTATATTTGTGATCAGATAAAAGTTCCTTATTCTGGTGTAGTCAAGTACTTCTCCTCGACTGGCAACTAAACACACCATTCATGATTAAATCTCTTTTCAGGATTGTGAACAGCAGGATAAAGGTGGTAGGTGCTTTGTTTTTATTTTTTAAAAATGAGTATTGCTGGATTTGCAGTCAACGGATCAGACAGAGTGATGGCTAGCTCACAGATTTGACACTGTTGCATTGTTACTTTTGTTAGAACAAACTGTAATCTAAAGAAAGTTGTTTTGACCAAACCTAATTAACAGAGCTATCTTGGAAATGTTAGTCATTTTTCAGAAGAGCAAACTATTATTTATATCATTTGCTTAGTGCCATCTCTTTAAGAATTGTATATAAGTATACACCCTAGTGTTTCCAATAACTGACTCAGAGTCATCAGTCTGGGACAAAGAGAACAAATGAAAGAGTTTCATTAAGTCCCAGTGTTAAGCAAAAAGATACAATGAGATGAATAATTATTTTTCTCTTCCACTGGGAAGATCTCAAAAAGAAAAAAAATGAGAGAAGGGAGAGAGAAAATAAGATAGAGAATCGTAGTCATAATAACATCTCCACAGTGCAGCTGATAAGGACTTGAGGAACAAAACTCCAAATCTGGAAATACATTATTATTAACTTAAATGATTGAGAGTAAAAATATATATGCTAAAGTACTGTATCTTTTGCTTTAATTTAGGTTCATGTTGCCAAACCATCTGCAAAATTTTTATTAATGATATGGCATTCTAATTTATAGTCTTGTCTCCGTTAGATGGTCTGGAACTAAGGTAGAGAAACCCCACCCCTCCTCCATTGCAGTGTATGTCACCATGTAAAAACTTAGTTGGGGAGATCCTAACATCTTGACAAAGATAATATCTCTACCAGAAAGAAGTCTGCATTTCCTTTGTTTCTGCCTTAATATTTTTTTTCAATAAGGAAAAGCTTTTAGTGCTATAAAGTGAAGATAGTTTTGGTAGATCTGGATGAGGAGAATTTTATTACTACATGAGAGCATTTTCTTTCTAGTCATTGCTGGGGTAAAAGTATCTAATGTGATTTTGTCTCCACATCCAATTTATGATACAGATGACCTTAAATGATTTGTTCTTGTGCTCTGAAACCAAGGTTAGCTGTATAGATCAACAGAATGAGCCTAACCATAATATGGAACCAAATGTTCAGAAATCAAAAGGTAGTTTTGCTGATGCCAAAATTTTCTGGTACAAAAGTGAAATAGAAAATAATCTCTGATGCTTCTTTTCTAAAGCTACTTTCTGTAGAGCAATCATTTCAGATCCTTTGGGATTCCCATAATCCCCTAGCCAGCTATGAAAGTTAAGTCCAATTCATCTGCAGATTAAGAAAGGCTGGTTGGGAACAAAGAAGTTTCTTGGTGATCAGCCAGCAACACCAAATGAGAGTAGAATTAGCATGTTCAAAATATTTCCTGTTTTTATAATGAAGAAATATAATATGTTTAAAGTAGTTTCTGTATCATATTATAATACTCTTTCTTACTGGTACTGAGGTATAGATGAAGTCTCTGAACATGTTCTATGTAAGGGCAAATTAGCCTGACTCATCCAGACAGTTTGAGCTGAGATATATGGGTATATTTTTCTACCAGCATCATAAACTGAAGTCATCTACTGAAGTAAATAAGCAGTGGCATAGTTGCCTGCAGCAATTTTACTGAAGACAGTCTATTGGAGAAGTAGAATCCCCCCACTCTGTAATGGAAGGTCTTTGATTTTAGAGGCATTATTATAAAACTGAGTACTGTAGAGGAAGAAGAAAGAGTATTAGGAAATTTCAATCATTTCAGCAAATGTAATTACATTTCCTTAATGACTTGTGAAAGTTTAACACAGCATACAATCTTATTAAAAGCAACCCACAAGATAATAGCACTAGTTTTTGTTATAGACACACACACACACACACACACACACAGACACACAGCCCCTGGTTGTAAAAGGAGGGAACATAAGGTAACTATGCTGTGAGATGTCAGAAAGGCAACATATAGAGTTGATTTTTCACTCAGTCGCTCTCCAGTGAAGCAAGTGCCCACTTGTTACCTTTCTCTTGCATATAGTCCAATGACGTTCTCTTAAGAGCTACCTTCTGTACTTGCAGCATTAACTGCATTCTGTTTTCTCTATCAGGAGACACAGTGATTGTCTCAAATGGATCATTTGTTATTTTGATTGTCATGTGCAATGCTTCACCGCCATCAATCTATTCTTGTCTACAAGGAGAATCATATGACCAGCCTGGTTCTCCTCACTGGCATTTGTGAAGCTCTTTTACTATGGAATCCTATAACATATAAGCATTGCAGACACAATGCTTATTGTGGTTCATAAAAGAAAAACTATATGAAGCAGCAAGAAGAATGGCCATGTGCTCTATTTTACAGACAGCAACACTGTATTTGAAAGCACCCATTTGAGAGCTGGCTTAAATAATAAAGACCTCTTGAAAGGGGGGGGGGAGTGTTGAAGTTTCTTATCAACAGCTAATAGCTAACAGCTGATTGAATAAAAACACAAGTTGTGCTAGATCATAATTTTCTCCTCAGTGCATATATTTATATAAATATAAATTAAGATAAATAAAAATTAGCAAATATTAACAAACATTAGCTTTTTTTTTTAGCTTGCAGTCAGAATCTAAAACAGGGACAGGAATTGCTTAAAGATAGAAGAATCTGTTTAGGAGATGAAAGGATGCAAAAACTGACTACTAATCACATACTAATCAATTTGGTTTGGGATTAGTACAATCTATGGACCAAATACGTTTTGCATCTACACTGAGAGCTTCTGCACCAAAGACAAATTGCTTGTGTGTCAAATCACAATTGGCCAAATAAACCTATTCTATTCTATTCTATTCTATTCTATTCTATTCTATTCTATTCTATTCTATTCTATTCTATTCTATTCTATTCTATTCTTATGGTTTAGTGTGATTTAGAAACCTAGTTATAGAAACATTTCCTGAAACAAACTAAATTAAAACTTGAAATTTTTGAACTCCTAGGCCGTGTATGTAGCACTTTAGATAAAACAACTAATATGTTAGGACACTCCCTTACCTACAGACTAGTTTCTTCTTCATTTTTGAGGTTCTTTCTTAGATATTAAAATGGTGAAAGATTCTCTCACATTGAGCTGGAACTCCAGGTGATTACACAGGCGTGGCCCTGTTTTTTCTTGGAAAAATTATAGAAGAGATTTGCCATTATTTTCTTTTATGATTTTTCAGTTTTTCAGTAAAATTTTCCCGAGTTTCTCTGGTGATCTTCTTTTGAAATATTAACAAAGATTTAGCTTTTGAAAGATCAGCCAAGGTTGGGCATTTGCAGGAAAGGACAAGGGGAACAATATGATGATGCAATTAACACCAGTTAAAGAATCCTAATAATTTGTATTATGATGCCATGATAAACACACCTTCCTTGTGCCTTTTTATGGATGTCCATGAAGCCAAAGTCTCTGTTGCCATTGGAGTTGAGCATCTTTTAGATACATTCTCAGTTTATATTCTCAGTCCACTAGTTTTATTGTGTGAATTGGTTTCTAATCTCTCTTATATCTTTCTGAGCACTTCATAGATCTATGAACAGTAGTAGGATTAAAAACAGTATAGCAACAATATCAAATTATACTGCTGCAAGTGCTTAGGTTCAGTTTTTGGAACAAAGAGGGAGGATCATCCTGAATTAAAAAAAAAAAATCTTATTCAAATTTAATTGTTATAACAATTGTATTTTGCATTTCCTGTTGGTTTCAATAGTAATCTTTGGAGGCATTTGGAACATACGTGGTCTTTTTCTCTTCCTCAGACAATAACACAAACTTCCATCTGCTCAAGAGATTAAGATATATTGAGTTTTCTTGGACTAAAAACAAAAACAATTTAAAATGTTTTAAAAATATTTTTCAAGTTCTGTTATTCAAAACAATTACATAAAC